AATTTGAACTCTCTAACTCTAAAAACACCAAAGTTATACCATTTCCGATCAATCAGTTATATGGCAGCTATAGGATATAGTCGGCCGATCCGGGCCGTTCCGACTTATATACTGCGTGCAAAGGAAAGAAGGGTGTGTGCAAAGTTTCAAGACGATAGCTTCAAAACTGAGAGACTAGTTCGCGTAGAAACGGACAGACAGACAGACAGACGGACAGACGGACAGACGGACATGCTCATATCAACTCAGGAGGTGATCCTGATCAAGAATATATATACTTTATAGGGTCGGAGATGTCTCCTTCACTGCGTTGCACACTTTTGGACAAAATTATAATACCCTCTGCAAGGGTATAAAAAAAAACAACTAACAGTTGTTTAAAAAAAAAAACCGGCGGATGGATCCCGAAGCATTTAAACGCGCATATTCTTGGTTAGTTGTACTTTTTTTCAAAATCCCGATGATTTTAAGCACGCATTAATTTAATTAGCGTACGTTGAACGTGGAATAATGAGAAGAGTTTGTCTGAAAGGATCAACAAAGAGGCGCCAAATAGTTTATCATTGTGTTTTATATCCATAAATGTTTACGTGCCATAGTGCATTCATAATAAATAATTATTTTACATTGTTTCAGCACTATGCCTATCGACGGATGTTTTTTTTTTGTTGCACCCTGCATCTTGATTATTTTGAATGTTCAATAGTAGCTTAAGTGCTGAATGAGCTGTTCTGCCTCAATGTAATATAGTTGCTGCAATGGCCAATGCGATGCCATTTTTTTAACCGTAACTAGGCAAGAAGTCGCAAAATTAGGAATGTTTTGGCAATTCCACCTGGTGTATCAAAAAAAAAAAAAAATTTCCGTGTCCTGCCGCATCTGCGAGCATAATGCGGTCGTTAATAATTTTTTGTTCGTCATTCAGTAATGGAACATTGCGACTAATAATGCCTGTCATTTCTACAGTATCGTACTGTAGTTCACGATGTGATGACAAAAAACGATATCATTTGGAAGCGATGTCATTTAAAAATTGACTTAAAGGAACCGGGCAGAATCTGGATCTGTACCAAGAAGTATGGCGTCCAATGGTTCAGGTGGTGTTTCCAATTCGTGTACTTTTACTTTTCCTGATGAGCAAAATATTCCCACTGGCTCATTTTTAAATATAATTCAGTGGTGGGCAAACTCTATTTTCCATAGCACGCGTGCATAGGGTCGGAAATTCTGTCGCAGCCTGCCGGCACACTGACAGTGTAAGTACTCTCAAATTTTTTTAGAAGCTCTCTCATTTTCTCTCAATTTTCTCAGAAATTGGGTTGATACAAGTTTTCTTCATAAAAAAATATATATAGGAATTTCGATTAGATTAGATTTATAAGCGTAGTTTTTCAGTTTTTTTTAGAAATGTTGCTTGAAAAGCTTTCTTTAAAACAAAACACAATTTTAGTGCCCAATCAAACTTTTAAATTAACGAAACATTAAAAAAAAAACACGTTTTTTTCGCTCAGTGAATGCTCTGCTCTCATTGTTTTTTTCTGCTACGCATACACTTAAATTTTAAACATGCGTGCGTTTTGCGCCCCACTAATTTAAATGCATGACAATACAGGCATTCTTTTTCCAAAGTACCAATAATCACTTTGGAATAAGCAGAATATTCAACATCAGGCTCGTACTGGAATGCTAGTCGAAGAAATGGCCCTAATGTAAATCCTCGATAAACTTTTTGATAAATTATGCGGTCTTAATACCCATATAGAGGGTGTATAAGGCCAAAATAAAAAAAAAATTTTTCATTTTTTGCTACTCTCATTGATTGTTGCCGAGCTAAACAACAACAAATTTTAGTATTAATACAAAAGCATTTCGTTTTTATATTGTCGAAAAGTTTTTACTGCAAAAAATCACTTTTGGTTGAGATCCCAAACAGAATGGCTTACATCAGAGCTATGAATTTCTTTTATTATTTTATTAGTTTTTAATTTTTTATTTCGTTAATAATTTTTTATTACTTTTTTCCATTGAAAATGGTACTATAATTTTTTTCAGTATAACGGACATGACTTGCAAAAAAATTTCTCGTTCCAATGGATTGGTGATTTTTGGCATTGGTATTGGAGCAGGGGTGGGCAAGCCTATGGCTCCACGGGCTCTCAAGGCTCCCCCCGTTATTCGTAATTTTTGGCGCCAGCAAATCGGGCCAGACGATCGAGTCGCGCGGTCAGTGAGCCGTGAAGATTTACAAAAACAATGCTACACAAATTTTGAAGCAGGTAGCGGGCCCGACCCCGCGGTCCCGAGTTTGCAACAACAATTATTAAGGGTCCGTTTGCGCACAACGCGACGGCAACCATCGCGAGGGTGGTGGTTGTTGTTGTAATTTGTTGTTTGGTCGAACTGCGGCTCCGACCGTTAGATTTCGTGCCCACCACTGTATTGGAGTATGCTCTGCCGTATGCTGAGCTTGGGACCCCCCGCTATCAAGTATATATATTCTTGATCGAACTAGTCTCTCTGTTTTAAATCTATCGACTTCAAGTTTTGCACACACCTTTCTTCTCACACACACCACACACCTTTGCACGCAGTATATAAGCCGGAATTCCGATCTTCATTCTCTATTCTCCGCCTCGTTAGCCGAATCGAAACACCGACTTGCACGAGTTCTGAGCCTTGCAAAAAAGAAGGGGATTCGTTTGACTCAGTTCTTGACTTTTGTTCGCGCAGCTACGAGTGTCCATGTTCGGTTTAGTGCAGTGGTCGGCACCCCAATACATTGATATGATTTTACCGCATTAGTGTTAGTAACGAATAGCAGAAAGTAGGCTGTGAGCATGACGTTTCACACATTTATACTGTGTGTGTGTGGCAGAGCTCGGGCAGAGAAATTTCCTATGCCCGTGCCTAGGAAGATAGGGCCGTGCCGACCTCTGGTTTAGTGTGCTCGGAAGAGGGCAAAGTTTGCTACTTTGTGGTGTCAAATGCATAATACAGCGCTGTCGACCCCTAAAAAAAATTAAGTACTCAATGGGGCTCGCACCTTACTTGGGCATGGACACTAAGCCGCTCGTTACCTACTATTTTTACCATGTATCTTATTAAAATGAATAAACTCATGAATTCAAGAATTTTATGACTGCGACCAAATGTTCTAATCTGCTAATACTAGATTTTATTTTTGTTTTAAAAGATAAAGCTATCTGATTCAGGGTACGTGGTACATGGTACATGGAACCACCCCTCCTTTACTACCCACGCCGATCGTTTTTATACCCTTGCAGAGGGTATTATAATTTTGTCCAAAAGTGTGCAACGCAGTGAAGGAGACATCTCCGACCCTATAAAGTATATATATTCTTGATCAGGATCACCTCCTGAGTTGATATGAGCATGTCCGTCTGTCCGTCTGTCCGTCTGTCTGTCTGTCCGTCTGTCTGTTTCTACGCAAACTAGTCTCTCAGTTTTAAAGCTATCGTCTTGAAACTTTGCACACACCCTTCTTTCCTTTGCACGCAGTATATAAGTCGGAACGGCCCGGATCGGCCGACTATATCCTATAGCTGCCATATAACTGATTGATCGGAAATGGTATAACTTTGGTATTTTTAAAGTTAGAGAGTTCAAATTTTAGGTGAGAGCTATTTTTGGCAAAATAATACGACATGCCAAATTTCATAAGGATCGGCCGACTATATCCTATAGCTGTCATATAACTGAACGATCGGAAATGACCCAACTTTCGTGTTTTTGAAGATAGAAAGCTGGAATTTAGTACAGACTCTATTTTTGGTCAGTTGATCCAACCTACCAAATTTCATTAGGATCGGCCGACTATATCCTATAGCTGCCATATAACTGAACGATCGGAAATGGTATTTGGTAGAAATATCAACTTTCGTATTTTTGAAGATAGAAGTTCGGGACTTTTTTTAGATTTTGTATTGTAATAAATTGGAGTATATATTCCTATTCCCATAAGGATCGGCCAACTATATCCGATGTTTGCGATATATATCCGGTTTTAACTGCAAGGGTATATAAACTTCGGCTCCGCCCGAAGTTAGCTTTCCTTTCTTGTTTTTTTTTAATTTTTCACACACCCTACTGGACCCAATACTGAAAACTTTTTACAGCGCCAGTTAAAAAAATAAGTAGGTATGCAAAAATATTTATTTTTGGTTCAGACCTCATATAGTAAAGGGAGACTCTCCTGTAGGCGTCCTTTCTTGTTAAGTAAGAATTATGGGAACATTATGGGATTATGGAAACGACCATTCTTATTAACGCATTGCTTACAGCTTTATATTCGGGTGATGATGTATAATCCATAGTATGTTTGGGCCTTGAGAGATATAGCTCGTCAATTATGCTTTAATCTTACCATGGCATGGTCTTGAAACATGAATCCAATATTGAACCAACATAAAAAAAAAATATACGTTCTGTTAAAATACATTTACCGCAGGCTTATAGTGTATAATTGTAGTGACTATTACAATCGGCATTATTATTTTGATTTTATTTTAGTAATTGAAAAAAATTGAAAAAAAAATTTATCTTGTTTTCGAATTTGCCATAAAAATTTAACTTATGACAATTTTTTTCAATTTTTTTGGAGACTGTTTTGGGCTTCAATTTTTTTTTACTCATAATCATTATTTACGGTCCCTGCACTAGATCGATGAATCGATGAAACGACAATGCTTGTCGGTTCAGTACTGCGACGTACCTACAAAGTTATTGACACCCAAGAAAAATCCTAAGAAACCAAAGTGCTAAAAGTAAGTTTTTTTTTTTGGTCTTTAAAAAAATGTTTGGTTAACTTCATTATTAATATTAAAAGGTACTTGTGAAAATACTTATGCTACAACATGAAAATAACTTTATGTTAAATTGTTGCTAAAGTTTTAAGTTTGCATTTAAGTAAGTTCGTCCAAATAATTATGCCGACTAGTCTATAGTAATTATAGGATATTTAGAGATATACATTCGACACGCCCACTTTGCACTCACTTTATTTCGAAATTATGCTTTTTTAACTTGGGTAAAATTCAATAATAGGCATACTATGATATAGACTTCATAACATGTTGCGGAATGTAGTTTAAAGCTGAACAAAAACACATTTTTTCAAACATAAATTTCATTAAATTATTTAACAATGGAAAAGATTTGAGAGACTTTGGGAAAAAAAAGATTAACAAAAATGTTTAATTAAGCCATTTAATACTATTGACAACTAGTTTATAAAACAATAATAAACTAGCAATTAGGCTTCACACTGAAACCATAAAAAGTTTTAAATTTTTAATTAGCAGTTACTCTGCTATTCATATAGAACTGTTGAGCCGAAAGTAACAACGTCAGCACATAGATGCATGCTGCAATCCAGCAGTTATAGGCATTCTGAAAATAAGGTAATAGGTATTTTTTAAATCAATGGGAAAACAAATTATAAACCTTATTTTCAATTTTATGACCCCTTTACGTAATCTATGTTTTAAATATTTTTAATTTATTTTTTTTTGTTTGATGTGATTCAACATGAATAATTTCTTAAAATAATTAAAAAAAACAGGATCCAAAATAAATGTGAAAAAATCACTTATTACTGATATGCAAAAAATAATCTAGAAAAAGTAACTAATCTTGCACTGGATATTTATCACCTTATGTATTTATAACATACATATGAATGATTGGTTACATGTACTTATACATTTGCATTTATGCAGGGTTTGATTAAAAGTTGATCTTTTTATTACATGTATGTATGTATATGTACCAAATAGAAAATCTTTAAAAAAAAATGTAAGCTTACTAAGTAATAGAATAGACATACCTGATTGTAGGCTCTGTTTGCTGCTGTATAAAACTCTTCCAAAGTATGGTACTCCTCTTCAAGAGGCAAGTCCTCAATAAGAGCCACACTATTGATGTAAAAGAACAGGCCCATCAGCACCTAAATATTATAAAAATTTTATTGGATGAAAAACGAAAACCTTGTGGCTCTTTAATGGACTACTCACCAATTGAACAATGCCCCATACTGATATAATCAGACCGCAGAGGGATAATTTTGGACCACAGATTTTCATAGTGTCGCTTTTTTATTGTTTTCCTCAACAAAGAAATTAAAATACTTAGTTGTCAGCTGCTGAATTCTCTCCTTTGCTGAAAAAATCTGGAACTCAAAAACTTGTCAGGTGAATATATCATGTGACCAAATTTGTGTGTGGCTGTACGCTTATAAATACCAAATACCAAAGCTTTTAGAATTCTAAATTATTTGTAAAATACTGTATTAATGAAATTTATGTCGAATCGTGCAACGTGCACAAAGACCTAAACAGAAATAAAAAATATTTGTGTATGTACATACGTACATACAATGTAAACACGTATTTTGCTTCAAACACAAAAGTGAATTGAGTTTATTCAATTATGAAAATTCCTGAAATTTATCATGAAAAGCAGGTTATGCAGCTATGTGCGCTGCATACACTTAATAATCTTTTTCAAGGTTTGTCAAGTAAGCTTTGCAATTGTGCATTAAAGAAATAACTGAATCAATACATTTCGATTGGAATATACATACATACATATGTATCAGTGGTGGCCGCAAAAAAAATTCACATGTTTTACTTACACCTTTGTGTTCGAATTTCGAATATGTACCCTGCAGTACTGAAGTTCATGTCGTTACCTGTCAGTACCACTTTTGAATTTAATTACATGCCAGTAACATTTGAATTAAATTTAAGACATTTGGTAAATGTTGTTCACTATACAATGTATAGTATACATACCAGAGAACGGCAACTTGCCACTCGCACAATGAGTGGCACGAAAAACACCGGGTATTTTAGGCACCCGAGTGTCTTTCATGCACGAAGTTTTGTGCATGAGTATTTACCATGCACGAAACTTCAGGTGTCTGGAAACACCCATGATTTCGGGTGCTTGCCTTTTTTTACCCAGTAAGTTTCTTGTGGGTGGATCGCAGGCACAAACAAAAAACGGACGGGTGGATCGCAGGCACACACAAAAAACGGATGGGAAGAAAGGCACAAAAAAAGATCATAAAACGATTGTAGGAAAGGGTTCTAGGAACCCGGACACGAAGTCTAGACGCTTAGGTAGTTAGAAAAGGACAGAAAGGAAAGAAAAGGAAAAGGACAAAATCTTTCCCCTTTTTTTTAGGGTGGTTGGTATGATCCGAACAAGCGACCGAAAAACACTCGGGTGTTTTGCGTCTCAAGACACATATGTAGGCACAAAATCATGGGTGGAAGAAAGGCAATAGGCACAAAATCATGAGTTCAAGAAAGGCAATAGGCACAAAATCATGAGTGCAAGAAAGGCAATAGACACTTTGTACTCATCCAAAAATTGTGTGTGTCGTTATTGCCTTTTTTGTTTTGTGTGGCGAGTGGTACTCGCACACAAATTTTTATGGGTATGCATAGGGTGTCGAAAATTGTCACCCGTGCCGTTCTCTGATACATACATATATCTTTAAAAAAATGTTTAAAAAAAAGTTTTTAAAACTTAACCTTTTTTTAAAAAAACTATGAATTACTATCCCTCAAAAAGTGGAATTTCACATTTTTTTAATGATTCTGGACCATGAATGATTTAGCCTTTCTTTCAGTCCTGATTACAGGCTTGTTTCACCTCTGCTTTCAAATATATTTTCATTTCTGAATCGAATCCGAAATCAGTCCTGAAAATGGATTCAGGGGCAAGAGGACATTTTTTAAAAATTTCAGTACAAAATTCAGGGCAGCCTTGCTGGGCTCAGTGCATGCTGGGCTTGCAATTCAGGGCTGATCACCGTATCTCTCCGGTGATTGATGCGTCTTTTAGGGCTGAGTGGTATTGGCGGGTAGAATTCTGTGTCCTGTGTTACAGTGTTGACAGTGTCGATATGCAGGCAGAGACCGGCCAGAGTAATTTCCAGCCCCACGGGATAGGGTTTTGATATATGTACATATATCATTCATTCAGATCAAAGTTTTTAATTCTTCGTCTTTATAAAGTGTGGTTCGCCACCTTGTGTACTGCCGTCCCAGAAATACATATTTACATATACATACATATGTACATATACTGAAATTAGAATATCACTGTGGACGGCAGTCCACTGTTGACAAAACGCATGCGTGCTCGTCAAAACTATATAAAGCCGAAGAATTAAAAATGTTCTGTGTGCGTTTATGCTGAATGAATATTAATTATAGCAATAATATATATTTATATAAAATATATTCTTAAGCAACATTCTAATTTTGAATATGCGTCGATTGATGGCAAACATCCCGTTTTTATTCTTCCCAACGTAAAAAAATTTGTCTAGATTGTCTATTAGTTTGTGGTTGGTCGGATCACAAACTGACAAAAAATAGAACCTGTACGAAGATCTTCAAACACACGAAAGTTGCGTCATTTTCGATTGTTCAGTTATATGGCAGCTATAAAATAGAGTCGGCCGATCCTTGTGCAAAACTAGCACACATGCAATATTTCTAACTCAAACTCTCATGCGAACTCTCTAACTCTAAAAAGACCAAAGTTATATCATTTGCGATTAATCAGTTATATGGCAGCTATAGGATATAGTTGGCCGATCCCGGCCGTTACGACTTATGTACTGCGTGCAAAGGAAAGAAGGCTGTGTGCAATTTTTCAAGTCGATAGCTTTAAAACTGAGAGACCAGTTCGCGTAGAAGCAGACAGACAGACGGACATGCTCATATCAACATAAGGAGGTGATCCTGGTAAAGACTTATAGGGTGTTGCTGCGTTGCACACTTTTGACCAAAATAATAATATCCTCTGCTAGGGTATAAGAAAAATTTTCACCACCAAGTACCAGAAATTTACATGGGAATGCCACTGGTAACAATGATTGTTTTAAATGTTGCATGTAAAAATTTTAATTTCATAAAATGGAGTGCACAAAAGTTTAGACAGAAATGCGAAAACTAATTTCCATGGCTGGAAAAAAATCAATGAATATAAATTACATAGATCCCGCTGGAACAAGTTAAGTTTGAGAAAATTTTCGCGCGACAACAAATGAGGGATAGCCGAGTGGTAGAGTGCTTGGCTGATGTGCAGAGTAAAACGAGTTCAAATCTGACTCGGGGACATCCACTTTTTTTTATTTTAAATCTATTTATATTATTATTTATTAATTGTTTTAAAGTGTTTTCCAAAATTTGTAAACCAATCAAGAAAATACAAAATGTTTAATCACTTTAACATCGTCTCAGTTCGTAGTGAATCGCGCTGTAAAATCTTTACGGCATGACGGCTACTGTAAAAATGAAAACATTTGAGAGCGGCTTCCACGACAAACGGCTGGCAGATGAGAGAGTGAAAGAGAGAATTATATTTTTAGAACGTAACATCATTGTTTGAAAGTGAACGATGAAAGTTTGAAACGTAATCGCAACAGTGTGAGAGCAAAGAGATTAGAAATATCTTCTGCTATCTTTACTTTTCAGCTCTGTTTTTGGTATGGATTCTCGCGCTTACTTCAAAATCAATTTTAAGTACCATTAAATCAACTTGGAGAGTAGCCTAGATGGAAAGCGCGCGCTTCTTATCCTTGGGGTCCTGGGTTCGATTTTATTAGTGGGCGGTTGTTTCAATTTTTAAAAAATTTTAGTTTTATGATTATTTTTATAATTAATTAATTAATTATTTAATATTATTTTATATTTTATATTCTATATTCTGATTTTTATTTTTTTTATAATCATTATTTACGGTCCCTGGTAGAAACAGACAGTCGGACAGACACACAGACGGGCATGCTTATATCTCATTTCATAAAACGAAAATGGAAGCAAAAATTTCATGCGACAGGCCCCAGAGTGAGATCTTACTCTCCTTCTTACGCTCATATTCCCATTGAATGCTTTCTGTTTTTCAGTCTCTGAAAGGAGCGCGATGAAGAAGGTTGTTCTGACATCGATTGATCCTTGTATGTATGCGTGTCACATATTCACATACACGGGTGCATGTGTGCGTGCGATTTTGTTTTGAAGCCAGCGCCCACAAATTTTGATTTTTCTAACATTTCAGGCTTGCTACCCCAAGAAAATTCGGTTATTCTTAGTTTACCATTCAAAGACGGTATGCTACATTTTTATACAAATTTAAGCCTAATATTCCCAAACTTGAGTGCGCTTGCACATGTAGTCTACCCCGACCACTCAAGTATCTGTTGAGAGAGCATTTTCAGATTTGCGCCGTTTGCACTATCACCCAGCTTTTTTTTTCCATCGTAAAACTTGGCCACTTTACAGTGAGATGAAAAAAGTCACTATAATAATGATAGCAAAGCCTGAAAAAGACCACACAATCTCCACGTCGTAAAGACTTATAAGCCTACTGTTAAGAGAAGCCCCAATACTAAATAGGTGTTACTCCAATAAGTTCCGTTTCAAAAATGTTTTTTTTTCATATTTCTCTTACACGAAAGATGATACATGAAAATCTTAAATCTACGTATTTAAACTTACTTATCATCAGACTGAACGCTGACATTCGAAGTGACCCTTTCTTAAGTTCAATAAGCGCACCATGTATTTGGTTCGGCTGCGTTGTAGGTATGTATGTATTTGGTATGTTTCGCGTTGTAGTCTCCTGCGGCTATAAATCGATCCCCAAGTGAATTGTAGAAGTCCATAAATTGTCCTTCCGAGATTGAGAAACGAGAAGGGCAGTAAACGGCAGCGATTGAAAGGATTCCGTTGCTTGACTGAATTTGTATCGATGTGGCCTGCAAGAAGTTTGTTGCAAACCTTTTGTGAAAATGGTGTTTAATTCGTTCTCTGATTAGAACTCCAGTTCCGCCGTGGACTTTCCCATCTGAATGATCTGTGCGGTAGATTGTATAGCCTCTTATTTGAAAGTTGTATTTGCTTGTAAGATGCGTATCACCCCGTAGCATAATGTCAATATGGTTTTCGGTCAAGAATTGTGACAATTTTAATTTATGCCGTGAGACACCATTGGCGTTCCACATTGATATTTGTAGAGCCTACATAGATTATTTAGACTGTTGTGCTTCGAGCAGCTGTAACACCATGTTCTGGTTTTGAACAAGTGTTTGCATGGTCGTTTTCATGAATGACATAAGATCCATCATACTTTTTTGGAGGGTAAGCATCATAGTTTCCGTTGGGCTGTGTGACTGTTCTGGGGCCTGTTGAGCGCTTTGTAAATTGGGCTGAATTGGAATTTCCCTTCCAGATCGTAGAACATGGTGTTTAGTGGGTCTCGCAGCTTTGGCGAAGAAGACGTCTGGCGTAGTTTTTGACGCAATGTACACATTCTGTGGATTTTGGTTACGCGTTGCGCTCGCTTGACGCATGCGACTCTTTAACTCCTTGTACACCATATACCATATCCACTATAGTTTTCCGTATGGTTGCCTCCGCAGTTTCCACATTTCTTCACGATACTGTCCTTGTTTGTAGTGCAGTGGGTGTAGTTGTGGGCGTCCCTGCAGACTACATAGACAGTCCGAAGTGTGCACTGGACCGTTGCGTTTATGTGGCTCTTCAACTGTGATTCTCCGATCCAAAGGATTTGCAGGCTTTTTATCTTTATTTAGAATGTTAATAACGTTCTTGGCGGCAAAGCCCCTTTCTTTAAGGGCGGTTTTTATTTCCGCGGCGGTAACATCGGATTCTACCACTACCACTTCCTGCTTTTACGTGTAATAGTTTTTCTGAGCATTGTCCAGATATTTGGACACGATGCGGAAGTGCTCTTCAGTCATGGTTTGCACCTTTGTTTCATGGCTGTTCCCTTTGATAAGCGGGACAACATGAAAGTTGTCATCGTTCCCGATCAACGCCGCAATTCGGTTGACCAGGGAACTCGAGCTTTTCTCCCTGATATAGATTGGAGGGGGCTTGGGTTTTTTTGCGGTGTCTTGGGCATTAAATAATGCATTGGCATTAAAATAAAATTTTAATGTCCGGATTTCATTGTCTGCTTCTGTATGTATATACGTATAAGGTTGTCAAAAGAGTCTTCCAGTATTTTTATTAAATTTTGAATTGTTCATAAAGTTTGCTATAATAATGCGATTGAAGTCAAATATGCGCCGTTTTGTTCGATGGCGAGTTTTCAGCGAGATGCTTTATAATGCCCCTCTTATAGAAGCTTGATTCCCTATTGGCCAAAAAGTACATACTTTTTTGTATGCCTTATACCTAAAATTGACATAAAAAATTGTTTTTATATAATTTTTAAACGAGATCAAAGTAAAAAATAAGAGAAAAAATTTTAATTTTTTTTTTAAACGTCCATGAAACTGGTTTATTTTCACCAAAATTAATTGTCGTTAGTTATAAGGCATAGGAAATTCTATCAGTTTTAATAAAATATATACATTTCTAATTTAAGTTCACTACCAGCGGCCCGACACTCGACAAAGCAGAAAAATAGAGGTCGACGAGATCCGCCATTTTGAATTTCCTGAATATTGAATATTTTTTTTAATCGTTAATAAACAACGAATCAAAAGTTCAAAAGCTTAAGTTCGTATGTCTTTTCATTTTCCGGCAATCCATTCTCAAAGTTTGCTTAATTTTTGGAAAAATCCAAAAGAACCTCCCCTTAAGCGATCAAGTTGCTAGCAGTAAAAGACTGAACTGATCTTTTGGCCATAGGTAAGCAGCTCGTAGTAGATGATGTCCCCCATTTGAGATTGTCCCCCAAAGATTGCCAGGGCAGTTAATGGTAGCTCTGCTTCTACATCGCGTCAATCCCTCCGGACCATCCTTTAAAGCCACTGTCGGGTGCCTTTTACTTAAAAGCCTCCAGATTTATAATATGAAATACGAAACAATTCGAACAATTTCATGTATACCAAATGAATATAAAATATGAAACAAATGTCACAAATGGGGGACATTCAAAAAATTATATTTATAACAAATAAATATGAAATATGAAAAAATTCAACCTCTAACTTTCACTCATTCAATTAGCTTTTCATCCCCCAAATGATGTGAGAGTAAGACCTACACAGGTTTACTCTTAATAGATCATGAACCTGATTTTTTCTATTTTTATACCCTTGCAGAGGCTAGACATCTCCGACCCTATAAAGTATATATATTCTTGATCAGGATCACCTCCTGAGTTGATATGAGCATGTCCATCCATCCGTCTGTCTGATAGAAAGATAGAAAGCTAAGACTTAGAAAAAGATTATATTTTTGGTCAGTTGATCCAACCAACCAAATTTCATAAGGATCTGCCAGATAACTGAACGATCGGAAATTGTATTTGGTAAAAATACCAACTTTTTTATTTTTGAAGATAGAAGCTTGGTACTTTGTTTTAGCTTTATTTTTTATAAATTGGTTATATTATGATTATATATATCGATATACATCGATATATATCCGGTTTTAACTACAAGGGTATATCGACTTCAGCCCCGACCGAAGTTAGCTTTCCTTTCTTCTTTGTCCTGATCCAGACATCAGACATAGTAATTGTTTTTTGTGTTTATATTTTAGAATGCCTATTAACTTTTATTTAAATAAATATTTTTAAATATTTCACAGGTAACCAATTATACAGTAAAACTGATCTGGACAATATTTGTTGTAACTTAAGTCCCACAGAATGGATAAATCCTCATCGATCTATTATTGGTCTTGGAAACTACGATGTGAATGTTATTATTGCTGCATTAAAAATAAAAAACTACGATGCCGTTTGGTTTGACAAACGAAACGACCCGTCATGCATAAATCTTGACGGAATTGTTGGCTTCATTTTGAACATACCCTCCGATTGCAAAATCGGTAATATAAAATTACCTTTGCGAAGGCGACATTGGATTGCAGTCAGACGAGTAGAAAATTATTATTATAATTTAGACTCTAAACTAAAAAACCCGGAAAAAATTGGTGACACCGATGATGTTTTTAAATTTTTAAGGGAGCAAATTCAGCAGCTTGACCATAGAGAGTTATTCCTAGTGTATCCCCTAAATAATGAAAAATGTAAAGAATGATAAATTTAAAATATTATTTAGGTAAAAAAAATATGTTATTAATAAAACTAAAAAAAAAATTAAGCGTTTGAACAACTTTAGATTAAAAACAAGAAATTAAAGCTAACTTCGGGCGGAGCCGAAAATGAAATACCATTGCAATTAATTACGGATATACAGCTGCGGTCAAAATAATAGTAGTCCCCATTTGTGCTATCGAAAAAACTGAAAAAGTTGCATTGTAAAAGACTTAGGAAAATGGTTTAAATCTTTTCGAAACCTAACTAATATTACTGTTCTGCAAGTTTCCTGTTTTGAGCTGCGAATAAGATGGGATAAAAAGTTTCTGAACGGTTTTTTGTGCTGATCAGGAAAACGGAGACAAAATTTTCCCATCACGCCAAGTTTGAAAAGTGAAAAAAAATTCGTTTTTGTTCATTTTTGTAACATTGTACCTCAAAATTCTGACGTGCTGCAAAATAGAGTAATATTGGAAATTAAAGCTTTATTTGTGATATTTAAAAGTGTTTATTCAGTCGAATAACAGTACATAGTAATGCTCCCCTAACAGCCCTTGACCGCCGGTATTGAGAGGTTGGACTGTATAAACAGGCCCCTGCCCTAATGGCGCATGCAAAAATATCCTGGGTCTTGTTTTAAAGATCACAAATCAAGATTCAATTTCCAAACACGATTTTTTCGAAAACTTGACGTGATGGGAAAATTTTGACTCCGGATTCGTGATGAGCAAAAAAACAAATTGCGGAAACATTATATCCCATTCTATTCGCAAGTTTTAATTTTTTGCTAGTACACTTTATTAACAATGTTTGTTTGCGCGTGAAAAGTCGATCGTTCAAGCACAAGAGAATTTCATTACGAACATTTTTAAAAAAATTTGAAGTAAATCGGTTCAGTAGTTTTCCGCCAATCCATGTCACCGCAAAGTCATTTATCAAGAAACACCATTTCGAGATATTCGCGTTTAAAGTTTCAAGTTCAGTTCAAGGCCGCTACGAGGCGCGCGGTTAGGAGCGCTGTAACTTTTTTTATACGGCTCGAATCTCTATGAATATTTGGGAAAATGTTCTCAAGGAGTTGTTCTTTAAGATAAAGCAATAACAAAATTTTCGATTTTTTGAAAATAAAAAAGGTATATAACCCCATAAAGCAATAGTGTCCAAAACTGCCTTACGGCAGAGCATGAAACAACACATATATGAAACAACACCAAACACTCAGAAGAACCTTCCTGGCCGTTAATCCAGGCTTGTTCACGGTCTGGGCAGCTTCACCGCTTTTCGAAAAAATACCGAAAAAGACCCGAAAAAATATTTTTTTTTCTGTGGGTGTTATTTTGGCTGTCTGATCATCAATTTTCCCAAAACAACCTAACATTTCTTGGCATACCTTTTTAATGATAGGGCCATCGCAAAATGGCTTATAATGTTTGGCAATAGCTAAGCTTTCTGCATACAACGCTTTTATTGCCCCTTTACTATTTAGGTCCTGAGTTAAAATAATTTTTTTTGCTGTATGGTTATTTTTTCAACATTATCTTTTATATATCGAAGGATTTCTTCAGCATTATCGCTGTAAAATTTTTAAAGAAAGGCTTTGTGGTCTGGAATCAATACACTAACGACATCCGCCCTATGGCACTATCGGAAATGTCGCTCAAGATTTTATTTTCTGTCCCCAATCAAAACCTTTTTTCAAATTACGTACAGCAATTTGAATTTAAAGTTTCGTGAAAAGGGTATCATTCTCCGTAATTTTTCCCCTAAAAGCATCAACCGCTCGCATCGCTTGCTCGCTAAGAAATGCAGTCGAGCTCAATCTCAGTGTAGGCAAGAGACCTGCCTCACTGGCCACTTGTGTGGAAAACCAAAAAAAATTGCATTTGTATTGTCCTTGACGACAAAGTAGTAGACAAAATTTGTACTTGCTGGTGCCAAAGAGCTGAGTGAGCAGAGAGATTCTAAGAATTTTGTGTGCCTTATGGAGTGAGCAACGAACCTTATGGCGCAGTGAGCAGCAGTATTACATAACTCCAAATGCACGACCATTTGAAAAAACAAATGAGCAGAGAGAAAACAATGATCCCATTGCATAAGTACCACTGCATTAAAGTTTTGGATAACACAAACATTTCAGAAAAAAACAATGGTGAATTTGACAAAAAATCAATCGGTCAAAATAATATAGTGAAAACTTCCAAAACATACTACAGCCTAAATAAAGTTTGTAAAAATGTTTAAACGATTGATCATTATACAGAAATATTGAAAGAATTTTGTAGTATTGATTTTAACCTTTGGCATATTTCGGCATATCTCAACATTGCTTAAGGCTCAGGAGCTTTAAAAATGTTTCCAAAGTTGAATGGTTTGGTAGTTTTATCTCTTTACTTCACACTATAAGATCGCAATTGGGTTGAGATTAAGAGACTGTGGTACGATTCCATACCCTTAATTAAAAACTGATGTGCATCAGTTCTTCATCCTTTTAAAACGTTCATAAAAGTGTCATGTCCCCTAAAAACTACAAAAGTACTAATTCGCTTAAAATTTTTGAGTAATGGTGACGATCAGTAATGATTTTGACCCAATAAATGGTCGAACATAACAGTAAAAAAAGTTTTTAAATGTATATTTTGGGGAAATTTATACTAGGTATGCCACAAAAAAATTAATTGTGGACTCATACTACCAAAAGATGTTTCTCCATATTTCAGGAAACATCAGTAATGATTTTGACCCATTGTAAACAGAATCGTTGAGAAATTTAAATTTGGAAGCCAAAACATTTTTACGCCGTCGTGCGAGATGTCACACATAAATACAAAAGTACACATTTTTTTAACGCATACATGTAGACTTCTAAAAATAGAATCGAATGCATGTGCGTTCCCCCCTCACCAACAAGCATGACAAAAAAAGTTGACCGTTTTGGGCCCTGATGTCCCATCTATGATCTTTGAAATCTTTGAAAAAAAAATATAACCAAGGAGGAAGCATTTTATAAGCTGTACCGGGCTTCGGTTCTGAGGATAGTCGCTTCAAATCGAACGATGCTTCTTAAGCCCTGAGGTAAAATAAGAAGGCGATTTTTAGATGTTTCATAAACTTACCGAACGGTTTTTAGGTTTAGCCACAGATCCAAAGAAAATTGATACAGAGCTCCAGTTTTTAAGACATGACGAATATGTTTTGGCTCTAGTTATAAGAATGTCAGTCCAGGAAAATTATGGAATAATGTTGAAAAAATAGTAAATTCAAATTATTGGGAAAAATTTAAAAACTTATCGAAGTTTGCCCAATGCATTATATTTTTGCCTTTTTCTAACACACCTTGGGACTGAATCTTTTCATAAATTTATATGATAAAAAAGCGGGCAACAGGTTAAAAAATCAAAACGTATCAAATTTACTTTACAAAACGCAGGACCCCAAAGACATCGATGGCTGTATTAACTATGGGACTAAGAGACTAATATTTTTCTTTCTTACAAATAATTGAAGTACAATAAACGCTCTCAATTTAAATTTAAGGATCAATTTAGCTCCTGATATGTGTAACGACCTGGTTTTGGTTGTTTCTTCGCTCGCAACAAATGCCGCGGCTTGCTCACAGAGTTTGTTGGAACTTTCCAGCGAATTTTTAAATTTGAAGTGCCCAGAAATAATACTGATAGCTTTACTAAAAAAAATGACTCCATTATTTAAAGACCTTTACTATTTGTAATTTAATGATTTGATAATCAGTTGATGATGACGTACTGTGCTCCTACGCGGGATCTTTGTTGTTCTTTTGGCTACTCCTGCTTGGCTCCGCCGATGGCGTTCGTCTCCTCGTCGGTCACCAGTAACCGTTCCTGGTTGGTTGCTAATAGCTCAAGTTGCGTAGCAGCTGGATTAGCACCTCAGGTGAAATATACCCTGCTCCTTTCTCAGTAAATTGTTTTTAATGATTCGTAAAAATATATACATATATACAAAACATTTTACTGCTAACACTTAATCATATTCCTAAATAAATGTAAAATATAATTAAATATTAAAATATATAATATAAAAAATAATCCAAATTTTGTTAACCCGAATTTTGTTAGGGTAGCAAGACTGAAAAGTTAGAAAAATCAAAATTTCAATGATCAATGACTATATGAGCGTAAGATGTGTAACGAACTGTTTTTTCTGCTTCCGCTCGCCACAATTTGCCGCGGAAAATTCTCACAGAGTATCGCGGATCCGCTCCACCGAATTTATAGCAATTTATACAAATAGCTTGAAGTTTCCACACTCTTTATCTCTTTCCACACTCTTCTCGAGACTTGTTTGCACTACAAAAGGATTTCTTTCTCTCTTCCTCGTTGCTCTTTCCGTTTCTGCCGGCTCCGTCGTCGGCGTCCTCTGCGGGTTGTTGAGGATACGCCGCCGCTACTCCGTCGCCGATGGTACTCCTGTTGCCGCGCTGATAGCGATTCCGCTACCCTCCGCCCTTTTGCCTTGAAAACACCCCCTTGGGTCGACTACGACTGGTCAGACGATTGGCAGTGATCTTTCGCCCCCCTACTCCCGAGAACCTCCGTGCATACGTGCCGGCGGACCGGGATTAGAAGTTGGCTGCGGACTGTCGCCTCCGCTACACCACGGCACCAGGTTTGGAAGTTGTCGTGTGACTGACCGTACGTCGCGCTCCCGTTACACCGGGACACCTTGCATACGCGCCGGCGAACCAGAGTTTGTAGTGGCGGGGCTGGTGACAAGGGTGTTTTCACTCGGTCTTTGACTTCGGCGCGAGTTCTCGAGTCGGCCGATCCTTGTTTCGCAGGACCACGCCTGTTGGTTGCGATTCCAGGAGTCGGTAAGGCGTACGCCGGACGTATCCTTTCTTCACTTCCTTGCAAGGCTACCTGCCTTGTTCGGGAATGGCCCTACTCGATTCTGACGCCCGCGCTCGTAGAGGAAATCGTCCAGCAACGGGTCCTTGTCTCCCTTGTCCTGTACGTCACGTGACTACCGGGCGTGTGATACCAAAACGCCCTCCTTGTTTC